CCCAATCCACCAGTTGTTCTGCAGGAATGGATTCTTCTGACAACTGCTTTTTCAATCTATGCTTTGCCATGCAGTCTGCTCCAACATGCTTGTTCCTGAAGGGCCTTCTAGGGTTCCCTATTAACATGATGATTTTTAATGGCTTGTTTTATAAAGGTCAAGCAGCTACTTTAGCAACTACCTCTTAAAACAATACTGAAGCAACATGAAGTTTGCAAGCAAATACACTTCAAGCAAGAAAATCAACTGCAACTTTTACTGGCTGAGCTGCCTCTCCTTCTTACGACGAATATCAGGACAAGACCATTTTGTGCTGCACTGGCGGCTGTATCTTGTGTTACTTGAAATTGCACTTGGCATGGACACCTCACAGATAACAGCTGCGTGTAGCTGAAAGGGACAACACAGTGACTTGCCTGCAGTGAAACCTCCCAGATTTCCAGGATAGAGTGATATTTGGCACACTTTTGAAGCATTTGATGGGCTCTTCAGAAATACGTCATGATGATCCTCAAAGAACTAGGTAATAACTAAGCCATCTCTTTCCCATTTATGGTTGAATACTAATGATGTATTTATGCTCTTGACTAAAAAGTTCGAGTGTGTTAAAATATAGAACTGGCATGCACATGTAGATCTGGTGGCCACAAGATACTGACTCCCTTTCTCAAGTCCAAAAAGACTCCTACCTGCTGCCATTTCCTGAAAAGGAGTGTGCAGAGGAAAAAAAAAATAAAAAGGAAATATCACCTCTATTAAAAAAACAGAATAGAAAAAAAAAATAAAATACAAACCCTTTGCATGTAGTGCTACTCTAACAGCTTGACTATTTCCAGGAAGCAGAAGTCTCAGATTCCAGACACACGCTGCTCTGCCAAGAGCCAGAGGCATCTGAGTCATATAAAGGTTTCCTACAGGTGCTCCAAATAACTACATAGAGAACAACACCAATTCTCTAGAGACACAGATTTACCCTCTATTATGCTACAGTGAAATAAAAACAAAAGTGGACCATCATCAGTTTTTATCAGAGTGAAAAATGCTCGTTAGAAAACGTCATGTTATACTTTTCTGCATAATTTAGTTCTTTTAATTTTATTTTCATCAGATATGATGTGCACTGAGTGCTTCATGGGGAACTGGTTCTSCAAATTCCCATAGTATGACTTGATTTGACTAGTACTTTTGGTGTCTCACTTTCAAAACTGAGCCAAAATATTTTGTGAAAAGTGATTAAAAATATATATTTTACTAAAATGAATGCATAGAACAGATGGCAAGTGAACTTCAAACACAAATACAGTTTCTAGAGCTTAGAGTGCTTCTGCCAACTTCAGCACTATTTTTAGCATAAATTGAAAACAAGGCTCTTTTAACTAAACATTTTGGCAGTCGCAGTATTGATTCAATTAATCTCAAACAGAGAAATGCCAAAAACTGTATTAAGTCAGAATTTTTAACAAAGTTCAGACTTTTATACCSTTAGTGGAATATTAGTCTTATAAAAAATGAATCCAATTTGTATGCAAATTGCCTTCGTTTTCAAGTTTCTTCCCAATTCTAAGATCTAGAACAGATCACTGAATGTGACTACAGCTTTTTAGTTTTGTTTAAACTGCTCAGATAAAGAGTCAAATATTTCAAATTGAAAGAAAAAGAGGCAGCAGTGTCTAAGACATTTCTACAGAGTTCTTCAATTTAAGAATAAAATATATACAATAAATGTCTAATAACTWAATAAAAATAAAATTTGAGGAAGGATCAGTGGACTGGATACAAATGTAATTGTACATTTTTGGTCATAAGAACAGTATGGACTTTCTTATCCATAAATCAACAACATACTTAACTGTAAAAGTCAGAAACCTGTTAAATCAGGTAACACATCACACATGAGAATTAAGTATTTTCCCTTACAATTAATTTTGTGTCTTTCACTTTCATGTTACCCACTTCTAAAAATCTACATTTCTTTTCAGTCTATATAGACACAAAAGATGCTTTTGTCAGCAAGTTTACTGACCTGACAGGCCGTACTAGAAGGCTTCTTTTTAGGAGGATGCAAGAAAGTCCTCAAATTCATCAATCTGGTTGCAAAATATGTATGCACTTTCTGAGAGATATGTGCATGGATGAATGTTTTAAGGAGCCTGGTTCTACTTGTACATATGCTCTTCAATTACATTTTATTCTTACTCTTTTAAATYTACGTGCTTTATCCTTATGGTAGGCAGGACTCTGTACAACAAACAAGAGTTTACAAGTTGCTTAGTGAAAACAGCTAGTTACTACATGCAAAGTCAGTGGAACTTCAGGAACATTACATGATGAAAGAAAGTGGAGAGAAAAGTATGCCCACAACACATACTTGTGGAACAACTCACAAGCTGAAGGAGATGCTGTTTGAGAGACCAGAGTCAAGTATCATTATGACCTGCAGGAAATACATGAATTTTGAAAGTGTTAGTCCACTTCTTTCAGCCTCCAAAAGTACTTCTGAATACCTCTGAAAACATGCCAGGTCACAACTCACAAGATTCTTGAAACCAGCTGATATAGTATAATAACTATTATACCATGATAACATGAATATATACCAKGACAGTATGAATCAATCTTCAGCTTCCCTTTCAACTACAACAAAGATTATTTTATTTACAGTTTAAAAATGAAGTAACTGCTACCACAAAACCAAGAATATAAATATGGAGTTTAAATACATACAGTAGTTTTTATTCTTCCTAGTTTGTTTCAGTGTAGTTTCCACATTTCTGCTTCCACTCCTCCTTTTTTTCCTTAAATATATTATTCTTTTTTCACCTTATAGGTTGAGATATTTCTTCTTTTTCTGGAGAGGGCGGAACTGACAATCATTGCCTTCTGAGTTGTCAATACTTTCCAAATTTTCCATTTTCAAGTGTCTAGGTGTGCACAGAGGTATGAAAATGGGCACAATAGTTGACCTCCCTCAGCTGCTGCCATCGTTTTGTTACACTAGGAGCTGGCCAAGAATCAGACTGCTGATCTCCATGTGGGTCCTTTGTTCTACACCTACAAAATCACGCCTAATTTGTCCAGTCCTAAAGTAAGAATGACACAACCAAATAAAGTTTAGCACACACTTCTTGAACTCTGGAAACTATACCAGCAACTCATACCAATGAATCACATTCCCTCAAATATTTTGAAAGCAAGCGCAGGCTCCTATTTCTCATAATCTTTTTATATTCCTGCATGCAGCAAATGCACATTAATTTGGCAAAATGTATCCTTGCTTGCAGAAAACAATGATATAACTTCCATTTTATTGAAAAGTATTGAAAACCAAGGTGTAAGTGTTTGCAAGATTCACCATTTATACATAGTTCTATGACCGGAACCAGAGATATRTCATGAGAATTTTAAAAAAGGCAATATATCCTTAAGAATCAAATGTACTCCAATAAAAAGAATGAAAAAGAATAATTTTCACAGAAATCAGAAGAAGTTATGCAGTAACAATTACAGRCTAAATAAATCAAATCATCCATTTTGCTAGAGATAATAAAATCTCATTTTTGTTAATAATTTGTTGAATTGGAAAAGAAATTCAGAATCAAATTACTAATGAAGAAAGTAAATAGACTAGCATTTTCTTGACCTTCAAATTAAGCAAAGCAGTAAATGTAAACTCTGCTCTTTGTAGGCAACTCTCATGCTTATTAGAGAGTCAGAGCCTCGGGAAGTTATTAAATCTTCAAATACATGCTCTCCCAAAGTCAGATACTTTTGCAATGAAACAAMCATCCCACCTAATTTCATGTTWGTAWTTTCCTTAMTAAAAKRATATTTTACTTTCCCACACTCAGCWCTGTTAGACAGTGAGGAGAAGAGGAAAACTGTATTTTATCTTCTGCAACAGTGCTGAGGTGCAATAAAAAAATGCAAATTATTGTCATACAATTTTTAAACTCCAATGATGTGACTGTTTACAAAATCTTGGCAATCTTTGGGAAGTTTCAAGTTGCACTGTCCCTTTCAGTTGAACTGTTATGGCTGCATAACTTGATTTAAATGGGCATAAGAAATGTATGAACTTGTTGTGCCTTGTTATAACATTACTTGCCTAATAYGACTTACATACTTTCACTTTCTCAGGAGACACACTGCAGTCTACACATTTGAACCTCCTTGTCCAGAAACAGACAGTTCTTCAACCCCTGCAAAAAGTGAAGCTTTGCACAGGCTTTTTTGACCCCACACTGTGACCCTCATACCAGCATCCACAGGCTATAGGTCATGACCTCAAGAATTAGCATCATGGAAATAAGAGCCCTTCCAGGTTTAGTTACAGAACAGAACACTGTAGCAACAAACCTCTCAGTCTTCTCTAAACTGAACTCTGCAGCTTTGTTTAAACTCCCCTAGAAGACAATAGATAACCCACACTTCAGTTTTCATTACTCGCACACTAAATCATCTCCTCTCCAGCTAAAGGTCTGAGCTCCCGCTGCACTATGAAAACATTCATTCAGTGTGGATCGAAAGCCAATATCATATTGCCACGAGATGAWCCTATTAAAAGGTTAAAGAAACATCACTATGGCATTGAAGACTTTTGCAACGTTAAGAAAAAAAGGCTGAAATAAGTAATCCCTGTTAAAATTTTATCTCCTGAACAGACTACTTCGCATACACTTCCTCTGTAAAAGAAAAAAAAAACACATCACATGGTCTTTCGCAAGGCTGCACTATTGCTAATACAGCTCTATTCATTTTAAATKTATAATAAATAAGCTCCACAGCAAGCTCCATTAGTATGAAATCCTGAAGCACATTCCAGATTGCTGTTTCCATCAGCAAGGGCTGTGCGATGCTCGGCTGTCGGGAGCGGCAGCGGCGGATCCGCGCTCCCCGGGCAGCCGTTCCCCGATGCCGCAGCAGGGGGCGCCAGCGCCCTCGGCCTCGCGGGGCCGCGGGAACAGCGCGGGGGAACCGCGGGAAAGGGGCACCGCACTCACCTTTCTCCGCGAATTCGTGCGGGAAACTGCGGAAAAAGAAGAAAAAAACATCATAAAGCAAACTTGCAAACCAGGACACGGCACAGAACAACAACCACAGTTTTCAACAAGTTCATAGTTGAAACTTAGCGCTGCAAATTTTCCTCAAAAATTCTGAAGTCTCTATCTTTGGCTGAAATTATTTACTCAGTTTTCCTTTAGCCTTTGYAGCTGAGAGAATCCCCAGTCACTTGAACAAAACTAAATCCAGACTGAGCAACCTTTTCTAGGAATATACATCTACTGAGATACCTTAAGGTATAAAACTACACAAAAGCATCATCAATTTTACTAAACATTCTAAATGTTAACGTATTTCTAAAAGTTTTGTGCACAAGTAAAAYCATTAAGCATATTTCAAAATAAACCAGTAATTCAATAGGGGGAAAAAAAACCACAAATAGTGGGTATAGCTGCAGTAAATTTGCATAAATTCAAATGAAAATGTATCAATAATTAACCAGAAATATAAAAAATTGACCCATGCCTAAATAAAAATTTCTTTTCAAATAAGGAGATCTCAACTCATATAATGCCTAGAAAACCCCAAAAGTTTTATCATCCCAGAGGGAAAACATACTTTTATACACTGTTTCTTCAGAGATAAATCTTGATATCTCAGAAACAAAAATAATCACAGGATGCAGTTTGATGATACAAATTATCAGGACAGAGTTATGTAGACTGGCATTCAACAAGCATTCATGGGCTCTGAACGAGCTAGCCAATAAAATGCAGCTGCCAATATAWTTTTTATGAACAATAAACAGTAGTAAGGGTATCAGATTAGTCAATAAGGAGATGCTGGCAAGAAACAAGCAGAAGAGAAAGGAACGGTCTAGAGATAAGAAACTGAGAAAGGCAAACAGAGATAAAAGGCCAGATCTAAGAAATCCAGAGTAGCAAGCAGCAGTAATAGACCCAGCCCAACATGTGGGATGTTAAAATCAAAGATGACTACAATGTGCGTGTATTTTGTAGCCTGCATGAAAAGCAAAACACTGTTAACAGTGAATAATATTAMAGGAAATGAGGAAGGAATTAGAAATTAAAATAAGATGTGAAACCATCAGGTCACGCAAGTGAATATTAAAGGATTCAGTGTCAATATGTTTATAATTCCAGGTTCTCTCCCTCTGATACTTTATCATCCAAAAAAAGCATCACTAAGTCAAGAAAATAGTCAGTAGTGCTGTATCTGCAAGTCATCTGCACAGTCACAGTTAACTCAATAACCCAGAACCGAAAGCACAGGAAAGAAAAAAAAAAAATAAAATCCTTTCTTAAATGAGAGGATGGAGGACAGTTAGTTCCCTAAGCATTTACAGCCTGAATGRAAGGAACCCAAACCTTCACCTACAAGATTTTGGGACACATCTCATGTCTCCCTCCAGTTAGCACCATACAAAGAATGTTGCCCTCACCAGATGATCATGCTGTCATTAAAATGGTAAACAAATTGCCACAGGGGCAGAAKCATGCCATCAATGGAATGCTTAGGAGATATCACACAGGAGTGATCAGTAGAAAAACACTTTGAAAACAACAATGAGTAAAGTACAGCAAATACTAGGCTATATCCTAGTTGATAAGAGCTGTAAGTAAAGAGATTTTTCAAATAAAATTGCTATGAAACTATAGCTAAACTTCTTCAGATAAATTGCTGACTGAAATTAACACACCATAGAACTCTCTCAAATCAGCCTTGATATTAAAACAAAAATACCCACAGCCCTCTGCTTTTTTTGGTCATAGCACTTTGCTTAAACAAACTTATGATCTACCAATAGTTTTCAGTTATGCTTCAGTTCTCTATTACAGAGCTAAACAACAGAATATGTAGTAAAGCAAAGTCAGCATTGAATTACTCTGTCTTACACCAGCTGAGTATGGTGATAGGAAGCTCATTCATATCCTCAATGCATTATATTTCTTGTATTTTAATGAATCTTACCAAAGCAGAGGTGAAGGCAAGCTCTACCCAACTAGCTTGCAATCAGGTTTCAGAATATGAAGCAATTAAAATGGGACAAATCATTCTGATCCCATTTCTCACAAAATTGTAGCAGTTTTGAGAAGACTTGAACCCATGCGGATGTTTTTGAAAAAAAAAGCAGGATTCACATAGTTTTTTAATTGTTAATATGGTTAACGCTTATTAGAAGATTGCAAAAAACTTCAAGCTATCAGTAAGTGACTTTATAACATATTAAAGCCGTGAAGTTCACTTACCTTGCCTTAACATCCTTTATCTTCTTAAGAAGAACTTCCCTTCTTTCTTTTGCTTTCTTGGATAGATTTTCTCCTTTTAGTGTTTGGAAAACAAATGTTTCAACATCTAAATAAAGAAGAAAAATAAACACAGCTTAAAAAAGACAAAATACTGCTGTAATGAGTTTGTCCTCATAGTACTGTGAAAAAAACCCAAGAAAATTATTTTTAGCCCTACTCACAGCATAGTTAACAGACATTTTAGATTCTAAATGGGATACATTTGTTCTCCATCTACTTATGCTTAGCACAGCAAATCCTATGGTGACATTTGATTCTTGCACACTTAATTATGCTACGTAAGTCCTAATAAATTGCAGTCCTATAACAATTACTTTCCATCACCTAAAGTAAAAGACAAAGCTAAAACATGGAAATGGCCTTTATGCATATATTACTGCCATGTTATTTCAGAAGTTCAAGTTCCCAAGATGGTTGTGTAATTTATTATTTCAGCAGTAAYACTTACCCAGATACTAACATAGCTCACTAACTGGTTATAGTGTTTTCAAGTGTTCTCACATTGCCTCTGAAATCACTGACTGACTAAAGATTCCTATCCAAAGCAATCCTGAAAACAATTAGGTAGGCACAATAATAATATCAAAGGAGTCAAGATCAACAGTCTACTTGAAATTAAGCACACCCACACTTGTAGAATCATAAAGACTCTAGCCTGCACTGTAATTTTTCATTCTTATACTGATTATACATTTCTACAGTCATGCAGAAACTAAGTGTTCCATAAAAGTTAGCACAGTTCCTTCAAAATAGCAAATGTCCATTCCATAGGACAAAAAGAATGCAATGTCTGAGAATTTGTGTGAGTGTAACTCTCCTGTAGTATGTTTTCTTCATTAACAAAACAATGGCAAAAAAAAAAACTCTGAAAGTTTCTTATAGTTACCAATCAACATATATTTATCCTAAAAACAGGAAAAAATCCTGTTTGTTAACATAAATGTCTCACTTGCACAAGTAAGAACTGCTCATTGAGTAAGAGAAAGCATTTGTAAGTAACAAAACACCTTCCTACAGTGCCTGCCCACCCCCATACACACACACACACACACATATATATATATCTTGGCTCACTCTGTGTAGCTGCAAACGCACATGGATAGTACTATTTTAATCCTCTAACTTTTCCAATCAGATGAGACATTCCATTTTAATACAGAAATATAAATAACACCCAAATAAATACACAACTGTCTGTATATGAAAGTTTACGGGAATATTTACTGCAGCATTCCTAAATGAAAAACTTAATTGCCTGCTTTTTTCTTTATAAAACAAACTTATCACATTTTGTATCACAGGCTGCAAGAAAACAAGTCAAAAGGTACCCTTTGAGAACACTAGCATAGCTATTACAAAAACAGTTGTTCTTTGCAAATAATTTACTAGATTATTATTCGGGTATTAAGATTACTGTCCTCGTAGAGTGCAGCAAAAACATTCCTTTTTTTTATAGCATTTTAGACTTCTGAAGAATTATATTGATCCCCTCCCCATAAGACAGAGAATCTTCCCCATTACATTTTCCAAAGCAATACTGAATGAGGGAGATCTTCACTCAGTTCTGTGGCATTCCTTCTTTAAAAGGACAGAAGGAAAGGCACTTAACATATATTAATGAATCCTCCAGACATACCCCCAACAGCCTCTATGCTGTACACCAAGGATGCCTAGAAAGATTTTGTCCTCACCCACAGGAAAACTACACATTCTGATCATTTCAGTGATTGGAATTGCCAGTCAAGATGGCAGATGAGAACCCACAGAATTCAGTGATATTGACCAACTACAAAATTTAGGTCAAAAATACTGAAACTTCTATTTAGAGCRAAAATCAAAACCATCAACAGTTTTTCTCTCAATGAAAAACCAAACAGGATTTTCCAGTACAAAACAAACTTTCACTTGGAGAGGAACAGCCTGATTAAATATTGATTACTCCRTACTTTTATATATTTATTTTAAAAAATTATATAGCAGCTTCAAAGTTCTACCTAGGTACCAATATACAAAAATTTAAAGGAATTAGTCACATTTAYAAATCAGTAACCTTTGGACACTAAGTAATCAAAAACTTGGCTGCAGAAGTCTTCATTTAAACTCAGTGGGCTCCTTTATTTCTTGTAAAAGTTCAAAACCCAGGTGACAATTCTGCCATCTAAGATTTTGACTGACTGTCAAAGCTCTACTGAAATACAACCATTGAAACAACACAGTTAAGGAGTATGTGGGGAAGAGAAACCAAGTTGAWTATTATAAACAAGGATTAGCATTTCTGGCTTAAAATACACTGCAGATACAAAAATTCGCGGACTAACTATATTGCTGCCAGATTTTGTTCTTTTCCAGAAAACTTGGACACCAAAAGCAGAAATAATAGAGGATTTTCAACCATGGAAGGACAGGGCAGAAGCAGATGCTCCATTCATTCTCAGTATAAGTAGAGTTGGAGGACAGATGCAGAAAGTAAGCAAGCATAAACAACTTTGTCATTTCTAAACAGCAGTAGTTACAAAGAAGACATCCCTGGGACGGCTTCCCTCTCCCATGCGATTGTGAAACAAGTTCTGTGAACTTAGGTGTATTCACAATCAGGGTGCACTGTTTYCATCATGGAAGACTATTATTTCCATATGTCCAGAGACACCATGGCTTGATACATCACAACCCCAAAGTATGAAGACAGACCTGACATACACATGATACTAAAGAAGCAGTTTACTTGAACATGACATCTTACTGTATCATAGATTTTTCTTATCTACTCACAATTACACAGTATGTTATATATCTTGCTCAAGATATGTTCTAATCCACTGTTGTAAATCCATCCAGGACGTGCCAGATGCACAAGATGAGTAACATCCTAAGCTTCTCTGGACAAGAAGCCAGCAAGTCATCTAACTTRTGATCATGTCTTCACTACCTGTACTTACACACWGTGGAGGAATACRGACTGCCTTAACATAAGGAAATGTTCCTGTAACTTTTCTGACCTTCCACAAAGTGATTTACCTAGGAATGAGAACAGAACTCGGGACTCAGTATAACAGATCCAACTTTCATACTGTAAACTTCAAAGAGAGGCAGCAAAATCTACCCATTTCTCCCCARTCTTCTAATCACCTACTTGCTCTTCCCTCTGCAGGATGATCCACAATTTSGTCTCTCCTGTATTAGTTTAATGCTACACAGAAAATGAAACTACTAGTCACCAGCACTTGASTGTAGACCCATTTCATGCTTCAGCAGCAGCTGATCCATCAAGAAATATAAAAAGGAATAAAAGATAAACTCCAAAAAGAAAACCTCTTTGAACAGATTTCTGATCTAAAAGCACTTTAACTAAGCAGTTACCCCAGAGTAAAAAAAAATACCAAATTACATATTTCCGTAAATTGTTTATAACAAACTGATACTGTAGTATCATACATTGCAGGCATTAAGCTGTTCCCACTGAAAACATGAAAACAGAAAAAAATTTAAAACCATTAAAACAAATAATCAAAAACAAAGACAAATATACTGTAGAACTTCATTACCACATCTTTTCTTAAGACTGTGTGTTAGACTGCTTGATAGCTTAAATACCCCTACTTGTTGCTCTGTTTCTTAAAGCTCATTATGTTAATTTTCTTTCACCATACACCTGAGAAATTATTTGCCTGCACGAATTAACTTTAGTTCATTCCTGCAGGCAAACTGAAAGATCCCATTGATACAATGCACACCCAAATTGCCCTGCCAATACAGGTTACAAACTATCCCAAAAGGTAAGTCACGCCAGTCTAGCTCTGTCCACTTCAACCAGTTCATATAGTTCTAAACTTAAGTGCCAGTTCACAGAACACTCAAAAGTTAAAAGCCATTTTAATTTCATTTTCATCTWCAGTCCTTTTACAAGAAGAAAAGCTAAGAGTTTCATGCAATTTTGTATTTCATTGTTAAAACAGTTTATGGTTCTCGTTACTTCGATGATTATAAACAGACAACACTGCAAGATTCTAATTGTTTTAACGTCTTTGGAGCTATTTTCTTTAATGAAGGYTGAAACCATACAGATGGAATTTTTCAAGAACATTGTAAATTTCTAGCCCAAAGCAAGTGCTGTGTTAAACAGTGCTAAGCATAACAAATCATAGCACATTCGTTGTTTACAGGGTTTAATATTGTAAATGTAAGTCACACTTAATAAACAAACATACTTAGGACAGAACTACCTCAATTTTATGTCATGGTGGGCCAAGCAGATTCTCATAGAGACACTCATAGACTATGTGCTGGGTCATTCTTTCTCCCCTACTCCAGCAGAAAACCAAGAAGTTGTCCAGCCACATCATCAAGTTAGTCACTCCATCATCATACCAGACACATCAACTGATGAACTGACACCATTGAAATGACAAGAGAAGAATCAGAAAGCAGCAATGAGGTAGGAGTTTCCAAGCACATGGCAGGGCACACAGGCAGCTCCACCTCCATGGCCCAAGGAGAAGGCAGGCCTGTTTCGAGGCTGGACACGCATCCATTGCATGACGAGGGACATTTGCATGCGATAACCTGGCAGCTGTACTGCCACTCACACAAGAAGACAAAAGCAGGTCAGCAGAACCATACTTCCAGCCAGCAGCCTTTTCCCAGCTCTCTCCTCCAYCTCAAGGACCRAAGAGCYARCAGCTGGCTGCCAGCCAGAGAATTSGGACAGRCAGGTCAGAGAATTTTGGGAKATAGCTGCAAGCTAGGCACATTTGTTACACACACACTGTCCAAAGGTGAACAACATTAAACAGACTGCCATGGATCTTTCAGCTTTACACGAGCTGGCATTAGAAAGCAATTAATTAATTTGATTTCACATTTTCATGCAATTTGTTAATAGGGAGCAAGTCAGAAGACAAACTACCAGGAATATCTGTCACTGCCCGTTCTCTTAAGTAAAGAAATATTCAAGGATTTTGCTTTTGGTCTCCCCCTGCTTTTGCAAGTATATTTTAAAGTCTCTCTCCAGAGTTTGCTAAATTGCCTTTTAAATATATATACACTTA